GTGCACATGAACGGAAAATTTAGTGGTCCACTTGCCTCACTTTTCTTAGGGCTTTCGCAGCGTCAGCAGCAGCAGGAGAAACAGTCCTGAGAATTTTCAGAGAACGCACCAAAGCCTAGATTAGCAGAGCTGTTAAAAGGCTGCTTTAGTTTTCTTGATGCTTTACTTTTGCTATTTTTCTCTTTTTATTTGATTAAGAACCAGAGCAAGCTTAGCAAGATAAAATAAAGTTAATACATAGAAAAATAACTAAAAATAAACTGTAGCCTACTTGTGAAGATGCATATAAAAAAGATACAAAAGAAAAGAAAGGAACACCTGTGCCTCATCTGAGGCTGTCTAGATGCTGTGTAGATAAAAGGAGAGAAAGAAGACAGCAGGAACAAGTTCTTTGAAGTTAAATCACTTTTATGTTAGATGTGGCATGTGATGTTTTTAACCTTGAGAGCACAGTGTTGATAAGCTGATGCATTTAGTTCACTATAATTCCTAATTTGCAAGTAACCTTGTGTCTGTATAAAGACAGAAATTAAGCAAATGTTACACTGGAAAACCCTCATACCTAAACCTATATACCTTACATAATAATTTATACTGTGTTCTTATACATTCTGCTATATTCTCTTTGGTATTCCTGAATATACATTTGAGGGAAACACAGACGGGTTTGTCGATTTAAAATCAGGATTAAAATCTGCAAAATCAAAGAAAGCATAAAGTCACAGAAAAAAGAGAGTGGAAATAAAAAGTAAAGAGACAGGAACCGAAGTTATGAACCTCTGTTTCCAGACACTTAATAAAACAACTCATGACAGGCAGTGTGATCGAGGGAACGTAGAATGTGACGGGCCATTGACACTGACAATGACAACGGCAAATTCGAAAAAAAACGCTAAAGATCTCCTCATGCTAACATGTAGGAAGAAGTACAAGAAAAAAAAATGAAAAAGGTTCCGTCCCGAAGACCCTTTTAAAGACATATTATTTCATTAAAAAAAATGACAGATGTAAGGGACCTGATTATAACATCTATGATTCATATAATACAACAAAGAAAAGGGGAAGGGGGGGGGTTCCGAACGAATGAGAAAATGTGAAAATCAGAATCCTTTAGCTCTTCCTCATTGGTCTCATTAATCACAGCACTAAAATAATCAGTTTTGTAATTACTAGTCGTTAACCACATACAGTATTAGTTTTGACTCCATAGAAGAATAGACAAAAATGCAAAAAGGGGAATAAAAATGTGATTTCTCTCTCCCACAAAAGCGAACTTGGTTACGAGATGAAAACAAAAAGACCAAGAATATGCTGTTGCCATTAACTCAATGTTAATGACAATAAATATCGTTGGTAATGATAATGACCATGATAATGACAACGATAATATCAATAGTAACAATAATCAAGATGATAATAATAATGAAGATGATAATAATCATAATGACAACAATAGTAATGATGATGATAATAATTATGATAATAATAACAGTAATAACAGTAATGATAATAATGATGATGATGAGAAGGAGGAGAAGGATGATAGTAATGATAATAATGATAATAATAATAATAATAATAATAATAATAATAATAATAATAATAATAATAATAATAATAATAATAATAATAATAACAATAATGATAATAATAATGATAATAGTAATAATCATGATAATAATAATAATAATAATAACAATGTAAATAATAATAATTATGATGATAATGTTAATAATAATAATAGTAATGATAATAATGATAATAATGATAATATTAATAATAATAACAATTGTAATAATAATAATGACAATGATGATGATAATAATAATAATAATAATAATAATAGTAATAATAATAATAATAACAATAATAATAATAATAATAATAATAATAATAATGATAATGATAATGATAATGATAATGATAATGATAATGATAATGATAATGATAATGATAATGATAATAATAAATAATATTGATAGCAATAATATCATTAGAAATATTACTAATGACAATAATAATAATAGTAATAATAATAATAATAATAATAATAATAATAATAATAATAATAATAATGATAATAACAATAATAATGATAATAATAATAATAATAAAAATAATAATAATATTAACAATAATTATAGTATTTATGAAACTGATAACAATGATGACAGCAAAAACGTTGGTGATGAAAATAACAATTGATAACAATAACAATGGCATCATCAACAATAATAATCATATAACAGAAATGCCAATAACCACAGTGAAGACGACAGTAACAAGTGTCCCATCCTCTACTAATCAGCAAAGATCGAGCACATCACTCATCCGTGACTCATCTCCTGACTCAGTGGACAACCCAGACTCACGAATACTCACGGCTTGAGGGTGGGGACGTGCGTGGGCGAGGTCTGTTGCCGAAGCACCTCCTGCACGTTCTCGGGGGAATAGAGTGCTTGCGGGCTGTTGTATTGCTTGCTGACGGGCGCCTGGTGCT